CAAAACCCAGCCTAAAGCTCGGCTCCCCATCCCCTCACTCTCCAAGGAATTGGGCTTGGATTTCCCAATCCAGCAGGGCAGAAATGCTGTTCTCCTTATTGTATATCCTAAATGCAGTAATTGCTTAAGAAATAATTGAAAGAAAATAAAGGAACAAAGACAAATTAAGGAAGAGTTGCAAGCTCCAACCACGGGATGCTCTTATCAAACCCCTTATCTTATCAATGATCTGCTGTAATTAACCAACTCAAGCAAAGCCATTAACACCACACTGATACATTATGATTCTTTTTATTTCAATTCTGTAGTGCAGGAAGCAAAAACCTTTCTAAACCCAGGAAATCGTTCAAGATCCGTTTTTTCCCGAGGACTTCCTTTTTTTCTCTTCCCTCAGGTGGTTTTTAGTTGTTTGTTTTTTTTTTTTTCCTTCTCTGCTCCCAGCTGGAATGGATTAAAAAGCCAGGGTGTTTTCAAAATACTCCAAAAATTCACCTAAACCACAGAAAATAAACACGGGGGGAGCAGCCAAACCTCCAGAAACACTGGAAGTGATGCAGGAGAACACAAAGTGACAGCAGCTTCCAAATCGCCAGCCAGAGGGAAAAATATCCAATAACAGAGAGGAAAAAAGGGGAAAAAATCCATCAATACACACAAAAAATGAGAGAAAAGAATCTATCGATATACACAAAAAAATGGAGAAAAAATCCATCAATGCACACCAAAAAAAGGGCGAAAATTCATCAATACGCACCAAAAAAAGGGAAAAAATCTATTGATACATACAAAAAAAGGGAAAAAAATCCATCACACACAAAAACGCATCCTTGAGAGCCCTGCTCAGCATTCGCAGGGTTTTCCATCAGGCTTTGAAGGCACAGAAGGCAATTCTGCCCTGCCCTGGGAGTTTCCTGCTGCCTGTGCTGAGCTGGGAGAGGCAGCAGAGATTTGTGTTCAACACCTCCTGTGCCCCTGGAGCTGCCCCTGGCACAGAAACAGCGCTGTGCCCCCTCCTCAGCTTGGCAGAGATGGAAATAATCGCGAGGGAAAAATGGAATTTCGCACCTGGAAATGATGTTTGGGTGAGCCCAGCTTGGATGGGGAACAGGAGCACAGACAGTGGGGATGGCAGGGCGGGGAAAGGGACACTGGGACAGGCTGGGAAGGTGGCAGGGCACGGAGAGGGCAGCAGGGCAGCGCAGAATTCCTGGAAAGTGTGGGAAACAGGGAAGCAGAGGCTGCAAAGGCAGGGCAAAGAGGCCGGGAAGAGAGCAAGGACACAGGGAGAGCAGGCAGGGCACAGGAGCAGGGGAAGAAGGAGCAGCGCAAAGGAGCCAGGGGGAAAAGCAGCAGGGAAGGCGGCGATGCAGGAGCGAGCGCAGCCCTGTCCCAGCCCGGGCCTGCCCCGCTCGGGGCCGCAGCCCGGCCCCAGCCCCGCCAAGGCCGGCGCCGCTCCCCCGCGGCTCAGCCCGGGCCCGGGTCCCGCCGCTCCCCCGCACTCCCGCGGCGGCCCCGCCACGGCCCCGCGGGCCCGGCCGGCAGCGGCTGAGCCCACGGCAGCCCGCGGCAATGTCACCGCTGCCTCACGCCGCCACAGCGCGCGCGGCCGGCCGCGGCTCGGCAGCCAGCCCACGGTGCTGAGGGCGCGGCGCTGAGGGCGCGGCGGGGCCGCTCCCGCTCCGGGCCGCTCCCGCACTCACCGGCTCCGCTGCGCGTCCGCCCCGGCCGCGTCCGCCGCCGCCGCCGCCAGGCCGCCCCCGCTGCGCCGCGGGAGGCGGGGCCCGCCTCTGGGCGGGGCCAATCAGCGCGGCGGGGGAAGGACCGGCCGCTGCGACTGGCTGCGTGCTGATGACTGACAGGGGAGCCGACCAATAGGGTGAGGGAGGGGGCGTGGTAAGAGCTGAGGGGCGGAGCGCCAGGAGTGGCGCGGGGAGCGCGGACGGGCCCGGGGGGAGCGCAAAGAACCGGACCGGGAATCCCGAACCATTCCCAGCGGGAATCCCGAAC